CAATATAAACAAATAGATAAATAATAGCGGACGGTGCTCGCTTAGGAACATCGTATCAAGAATAGCTCATCAACAAAAAGTCCCTTTTATTTCAGTTATATGAGAATAGAGTCTCTGGCGGGATATATGTACCTAATGATTGGTGTAGATATGATTCTTTTTTTTTTAGTTTCTCGACTTCAGCAATAATCTAAGGTTTACATAGGGACTATGCTCTGTTCTTGTGTCATAGTTCGATGTAAGAGTTTATGTACACACGGTCTAGGTATTTAATCCATAAGCTAAATTTTTTAGTAATAACAGACTGATAAACGCGGTATTATGCATTATTTACTACGTGCTTAAGTCACTCGCACTTAAGTCGCAATACTTGTTTTCTCATTTAACTTAAGCATTAAGCTAGTAAATCCAATAGAAAAGATATACATTCGACGAGAACTCAATTAAAGCATCGTCACGGAAGCTGTTGGTGGCATTAAACGTCTTTTTTTCTTTGTTGCAAATTATCTTGACTACAGCTAAGCAAGCCATGCTCTCTCAGCCAAGCGTAGCTTCTTTCATACATCGTCTTTTTGCTAGTTTATGCCTTCTGTACGTCTTTTCAGCCTAAGCTACAATGATGATTGAATATTTCTGTATGAGTCCCCGGTGAATTCGCGCAATTCTCTGCACACACAAGCACAAACATGCCTAATAACATTTCGCACTACTGAAGTCCATTAAGAAGGGTGTCGTTAGAAGAAAAAAATAGCATACATATATATTATCTGTAAGTTACAGGGCCGTAGGCTCACAGCTTAAGCTTCAAGTGTTGCAATCGGCTGCCGTAACTTCGGGCCAAATAATTAAAGCGAAAATGGATTTAGCTGGCGAACATCCTGAACCGAGTCTGTTCATCAATTAAGCGATAGAAGGCGCTAGGTAACTATGGAAGTCAAAATTGATAACAACAGATTTTTTTACATATAATTTGTCTATAGCAAAAATTATAAACAAGATATGTATTTTAAAATAATATATTGTTATAAACAATTTTTATTGTATCGTTTTCATTATTCCCAAATAGATACCACACGCCAGCAACATCAGAAAATTGTAAATAATGTTACGTTTTTGTTGGTAATAAAAAGTAATAATTTGCTTTAAGCCCAATAAAATAAAAGATCACAATTGTGATTATACTGCATTGTACCTAGAGGATCCGTTGTTAATTCGGATTTACATGCGGCGCCAAGTCGATCAGGACATCATCAGTTTCGATATTACCGGCTTTTTAGGTGGGTTTCCAATCGCCGGTCGCGTCAAATGACGTCATTTGAATGCGAAAAGCTCAGACATGAGGACCCAAAATTTCTCTAGGAATAGTGCAAACTGTATATTTCTGATATTGAATCCTGAAAATATAGACGAATACCGATACTTTTGCCTGAATTACACCTTGATCGATTAAGCTCTTCAAAGTTGAATGCAATTATCATGTCGCGATGATGCGCATATAGAAACAAAATTACATATGTACTTTATATGTATGTATATTTAAGTATATGACGTAAAAATAGCCTGTGATTTTTGTTTGCTTTCACGCCAAAACTATGATTGAACACTCTGATTGTATGTTCTGCTATAAGTGCTTTAAAGTGACAGTCAAACGTGGCTACGCCATAGGCCTAGCTGTGCGTACAATACTGCATAATCAGCAGTGCGCGCGCGCATGTAGAAGAAATTAAGGCTACGCACGTTAACAAAACCAATGATAATTATAGCTTTCAGGATGTTTTTTTTTTTCAACAAGCAGACTGACGAATATCGACTCACAAAAAACATAACACATTGACTGACACTTTAAATGTTAAAAAAAATATTGGATACAAAAAGTTTGAATTCGAATTTCCTATTTCGTATCAAAAATATGTCACTTGAATAATGAGACACAGAATTCGATAAAAAAAAAAAGTATCATGCATTATTTCATCAAAAAATATATCACATTTTGCCCGCAGCATGATGTCAATGATTGTGGTGTCGATATATTGATGGTATTTGGGCCGTTAACGCTTACAGTATATTTTTACATATGATTTATCATTTTCTTTTTTCATATAATATTTATTAACAATCCATTAAATATTGTGATTAATATTCATTAAAATCAATATTTTCTAATTGAAGTTGGTATTCCGTTAGCTAATTAATATATTATGAAGTTATTTTATCATGTAGGCCTATGTCAATAAATTTTTCTAAATTTTTAGTTTGGATGTTTGGATATCGTTGTTCCATACCAATACCTGTACTTTTAGTATAAGCATATTATAGTCTTTCTATTATTTATTATTATTATTTAGGTCTATTTATTATTTAGGCCTACTATTATTTTTTTTATTTATCCAACCTCAGGGCTCTAGTCCTACTATTATATATATATATATATATAT